AAATTTCTCTGTCTTAATATCGGAGGAGTAGCGTGAACACTGATTCTTACTTATCATTCGATCTACAGGAAACTGAAAATAACAGGTTATGGGCCCAGGATCGTATCATTGATAAGTGTAAAAAGTATAGAAGTGAGAAGTGTTATTAAAAGTGATCCTTCGGACTGACGCCGCTGTCAAGACAAAGAAACAAGTTTCATCATGGTCACTTCAAAGCCCTTCGCGAATATTGATAGGCTCATAGGACGAGAAAATTATAGAGAATGGTGCTTCGATGTTCAAAATATTCTAGTGATTGAAACTCTGTGGTCAGCAGTCAAAGGATATCCTGTAGAAGACACAATGCCAGTATCCATCAAGAAACAAAAGGACGAGAAAACAAGAGCCATCATTTGTCTGACATTGGAGCCCCAAGTAAAATCTTATGTCGTCCAGCCAACTACAGCAAAGGAAGCCTGGGACGCCCTGGAAAGAACATTCAAAGATCAGGGAGTCAATAGTTGGATAAGTATTTTGACTGATTTGTGCTCTTTGAAACTTGAGGACTGTAAAAGCATGCAGGAATGTGTTAATGAGTTCATGTCAATAAATCTTAGATTAGTCTCGATGAACAAAAAATATAGAAGATGAGCTATTAGCCGCATTAATGTTAAAGGGTTTAACTAAAGAGTATTATCCCATGCGTATGGCGCTTGAAAACTCCAACGTAACTTTGACTAGTGAGCTCATTAAATCTGAGCTATTGCAAGGCACTGAATTTTGTAAAAATGCAAATTGAGATTCAGCCCTTCTGTCCACAGGTAAGTTTAAACATAAACCACCAGAATGTCAAATTTGTGGTAAGCTAGACCATATAAATAAAAACTACTGGTTCAAAGATAAGGATAAGGTGAATAATAATAATCATAACAATCAGCATCAGCAAAAATTTAAGAGCAATCAATCTTCTAAATCTGTTAATACTACTGATGAAAATAAAGAAGGATCTGATCATAGGTGTAATGAATATAAATGGAAAAATAAGACCAGTAAAAGAGCCATGTATATGGTGTCTGCCCATCATGTTAAAGTTAAGGCTGATACTTGGGTAATAGACTCTGGTGCTTCACACCATATGACAGGAAATAAGACTATTTTGCAAAATTATAAAATGCATGATTCTAAAGAACATGAAATAACCCTTGCTGATGATAACATGTTAACCAGTGCAGGTTTTGATGATGTAAAACTTATGAATGACATTTATAGCCATATCTCAGAAGTATTGCATGTACCGGGATTGTCTGCAAATTTGTTGTCTGTAAACTCAATTGTAAATAAGGGTACAATTGTGTTATTCACCAAAGACTGTTGCAACTTATATGATTCTGATGATTTTGAGGTAAGAGGCAAAGTTCTTGCCAAAGCATATCCCGAAAATGGGATTTATTGTTTAAATACCAAAGCTAACATGACCCAGTCTGCAAATATAGCAACTAAAGATAAGATTAATACCAAAGAGAAAAATGACAAATGGAAAAATCTTGTATTAATACTGTAAAGAATGAACAAGTTGCAAGTACCCAGCAAGTTGATGAACAACTGTTGTGGCATAGGCGTTTGGGGCTTTTAAATAGGGTTAGCATGCAGTTGCTATAAGAAAGGTTTAGCTAGTGGCATCGATTTTCAAGAACAAGAAGATCAGTCAAAGAAATGTGTTCCATGTCTGGAAGGCAAAATGACAAAGAAGCCTTTCCTACAATCAAAGCGCAAACAGTCAAAAAGGATACTTGATCTATTGCATTTAGATCTGGTTGGGCCATTTGAAGTACCCTCTTATGGGAATGCTAAATATTTTTTGACTATAGTGGATGATCACAGTAGAAAAATCTTCATTCCTTTCTTGAAACAAAAAGGTGACACATGTGAAGCCTTTAAAGAATTTATGAAAATGGTTGAGACAGAAACAGGATTGACAATAAAAGCTGTTTGTTCCGATAATGGTGGTGAATTTTGCGGCAAATAATTCAGTGACATGTTAAAACAAAAGGGAATCAAAAGGGAATTCTCTGTGCCATATAATCCACAACAAAATGGAACTGCCGAAAGAGCTAATCACAGCATTTTGGAAAAAACAAGATTATGTTGTATGACTCTGGCTGCAACAAGAGATACTGGGCTGAAGCAGCTCAAACAGCCGTATAGCTTTTAAACAGATCACCTCAGAAGAAACTAAAGAATCAATTGCCTGAACAAATATGGACAAGAGAAAAGATTGATCTCTCCCATATAAACATTTTTGATTGTCCAATGTATGCACATGTACCATCACAGAAATGCCAAAAATTGGATGCTGTGAGCAAGAAATACATTTTTGTGGGATATAGCGAGGATAGTAAAGCTTATCGGTTATCAGATCCCCGCAATCCATCTCAAATAGTTGTGGCAAGAGGTGTAGAATTTCTGGAAGAAGATATAACGAACAAGAAAGAAAGTGAGAAAGGATTTCAGCTTAAAGACATTCTTCCAATGTCGTTAAGTTTCTACCTTGACTCACAAGATGAAACAATGATTCCGCAAGAACAAAACCCTGAAGAAGAACAAACACAAGTAGAAGATGAAGGAAATGAAGTTCCATTAGAGCCAGACGGTTTAGAACAATTACAAGGAAACTTGGAAGAAAGAAGATATCCACTTCGAAACAGGAAACAGAAAGAATTTCCAGATTTTGTTACCTACTTAGCCATGCATAAAGATGAGGAGTCAGAACCAGTCACATATGAAGATGCACTGTCAGGCTGCGATAAATCTAAATTGGGAAGAAGCCATTAAGAAGGAATTAAAGGCCTTTCAAATGAACAAAGCATGGACAGTAGTGGATAGACTGTCAAATAAACCAGTAGTGAAATCAAAATGTCTTCAAAATTAAACGAGATGCTGAAGGAAATGTCGCATGTCACAGAGCATGTTTAGTGGCGAAAGGTTGTAGCCAAACAGAAGGAATAGATTATTTTGAAACTTTTGCTCCCGTGTTGAAACATTCTTCAATGCGATTGTTATTTGCTTTAGCTGCAAAGCATGATTGGAACATTGACCACCTTGATGTCTGTACCGCATTTTTAAACAGAGATCTTGAAGAAGTTGTATATATGGAGCTTCCTGAAGGATATGACATTAAGGGGGAGTCTAATAATGTTTGCAAATTAAGAAAATCAGTTTACGAGCTGAAACAAGCCGCTAGTTCGTGGAATAAGAAAGCAACAGAGATTCTGAAAGGCTTAGGGTACAGGCAAACTTGTTCCGAACCACGTATTTATACCAAACAAAAGGGTAATTCTGTAATTAATATAGCATTGTATGTTGACGACTTCCTCATATTTCACAATGACAATGTTGAAGTTGAGAATTTAAAAGGATAATTGGAACATTGTTTTAAAGTCAGGGATTTGGGACCAGTTAAGAAATGTTTAGGAATGGAAGTGAAAAGAGATAGGGCAAAGAAAACTATAAAGTTGACCCAAACTCAATATTTGAATAATGATCTGAAAAGATTTTATATTCCAAATGAGACTATACCAGTTAGACATCCAATGGAACCAAACAGCAAACTGAAGCCATTGCCTAAATTAGTGTTCCCCAACCTTTTTCTGCTCGCGGCACACTATGAAGTATCCATGACTCAACACGGCACACCAAAATGTTATTCCCCTCAAAAACGCATATCAGACAATTAATATAAATACGTAACGTGATCAACTTATTACTATAATATTATTATACTAGCCATACCCAGCCACGCGTTGCTGTGGCAGATCAAGTGAATTCAAAAATTCTGTTAGACAATTAACCGCTTCATCTGCTTCCACAACAGTGTCGATGGACTTGTATGTGACTGCCTCGCAGCGAATGTTAGACTGAATGATATTGTTAAGTTCGTAGACGTCTTTGTTCTTGGCTGCAAGAGTAGCTTGTTCACTCAGCCAGTCGTGATTCTTATAATTGGTTTGAATATTGGGAAATACTTTTTCAACTAATTCTTCTTTTGACGTCACTAAATTGCAGAAGTTATGAGGCAACAAAATTCGTTCTGGGGTCAGATCAACCGGCACCTTTCCGTTCCCAATTTCCAGCAATTGATGTGAGAATATCTCAGATGATCGATCGTTTTGCAGCTGGACACGCATATTTGTAGTTAATTTTAACGTCTTTACGTGTTGCCACAAAGTAGAGTATTTCAGGCAAGCATTTATTTCATCCGCTGGTGTCAGTTGAGGAATTACAGGTAATGTTTGCCTGAAATCTCCTGCAAGCAGTATTAATGCGTTCCACGCAAATCTTGCAGTAATCGATGAAGAGCCTCGAGGGATTTTTTGTGCGCCATTGTGCATTCATCTCAAACAATAAGTTTGCATTTGAGCCGCCCTTCCTCCTCTTCGAAGACAACCACGCTCTGCTACCAATTGTTGAGCCGCTTCGAAGACAACCGGAGCTCACAATCGACTGTTTGTCTCGTGGTGTTCCAATGCCTCCCCAAAGTGGAAGGGGATCTCAAGGGAGGAACCGAGAGGGTTAGCTGGCATAGGCGTTGGGCAGTACAAGTATTTCAGCAGAGTACAAGAAATCATAACAATCCAGCTGGCTTTTCAATAATAAAAAAATATATTGCAACAAAAGAGTAGAAATTTAAATCACACAAATATGACAAGGAAAATGTTACAGCTTCGCCTGAAGGGCTGGTAGAAAAATCAAATAAACATCAGTCAAGAATGACTCAGAATTTGCCCGCAGTCAAAGTAACGGTTGCGACCCTTTTAAGTTCACTGACCTGGGCTGATCAATAGCCTTGAAAGTACATGGTTAAAACTGTCGCAAATAGCCTGGTTGCCAAGATGAAACTCGATCATAATGTTCTGACTACACCGATTACAAAATAATACATAAAACAGAGCTGAAAAGAAACAAACATTCAATCCCAACAAAATGCCCCTGCCGCATTGCGGCACTCAGTGACCAATCACAAGTCACGTAACTCCTGGCACTCTCACAAATACAGGGCAGTTCTAAAACATCTCGCCCAACTTCCTCAGTAAGTACTTACTTGATAAAATATATATTACAAGCCAGGGAAAATAATAAATAAATAAATAAATACACAAACTCCCGAGCCAGCCAGCCCCACGCCGGCTCGACAGGGCTTTCTCTCTCTTCCTGTAGTAGTTAATGCGCCGAAACAGAATTTCTACGCATAATGCGTAATCAAAAACCAAACTGAATTTCGAACTCCCAAAACCGACCTTCTCGGTCGAAGACGAAGAGGAAAAAGCAACAGACCTACTTGTCTGTAAACGTAGCTCGTGTCGGGACAAGAGGGAAGGGGAAACACGTGACCTCTAGGTTACGCAAGGAACTTGATGGGAAAGGGATCGGCTCCGCGTCGTAGCGTACGTAGTTGCCAGAGAGAGAGAGACGGTAAATCCAAAGATCCTACACCGAAAGAACCGTGACACGGTTCAGGATCTCACCCTCTCTCCACCTGGCAAAAACCACAGGCACCTCCCACACTCCTGGTTCCATCCATGGACACTCTAACGACGACAACCAAGCAGATGCGCAGCTAACTGCGCTATCCTGTTTTCTCTCTAGTGCCCATCCGTAGATACTCCTCAGCTCCATGCGCGGAAGTGTTCCCTTCCGGAGAGTCGCGGGTGCCAGCCCGCCAAACCCTCCGACACGACCGTCGCATCCCTTGATCACCCCTCTGAGTTGGTAAGGGAGCCCCAACTTCAGACGGCGATCCTAGCGGGCGCGGAGTACATAAATCCAGGAGAATCGAAGTTACAAATCTTCTCAGGCGCCGACGTCACCATAGTCGGAGTAATCTCGTCGCATACGACATCGCGAGCCAACAGGAAGGATAAAGGAGGACACTCGCTGAAACACACACACACAAACTTCAGGCAACATCACTGTACTACAGGAAAAGCTCACAAAAAATAATAATACATCATTCAGGGGTAGTCTATTAGTTACTTGTAGCTAATCACCGACATAGTACCTCTTTAACTGCGATACATGCGCCTTCCTAGTGTAAACGCCAGTATCTGGATTTGCCAATTGTACAGTAACCTTGGTCAAGAATTTGGCAATGACCATTGGCTCTGACCACTTATTGTCCAACTTGGCTGAACGGTGTAGAGCTTTCGAACTCTGAGGGTGGAGCCTCACAAGAACCAAATCTCCAACCCTGCATTCTACCTCCCTCCTCGATTGGTTGTAGCGTTTCGCTACTCTTTCCCTAGCTTTCTGCAGATTATCAATAGATCGTAGGAATCGGACGATCATCAAGCCTACCTTCCCCCCGCCGCCGAAATACGAACCACAGAAAGGATACGAATCTATCGGTAATGAGACGGCCTCTCGATCACAGGGCTATGACCACTCGCCCTGTCGATCATATAATCCGCTTCATTACTCAGGCCAGGCAATCACAGACTCGATAATACCGAAAAACGTCACGCCGAACACGTCTCAGGCGCTCGGGGCCTCCGAAGGTTTCCCCTCCCCGAGGTTCGCTCGGGCCCTTCGGAGGTCTCCTCGCCTCGGGACGTTAGAAGACAAACAATTTCTCGCGATATGACCAACTCGTTCACACTTATAGCAGCGAACATTGCGATCATTCACCCGAGGGCTCTCCCTTGCCACCATACTAACGGGGCACCTATTGCTCTCTTCTCGCGAAACCTTATCAATGGGAACGTGACGCTCTAAACCTCTAACTTGCTCGACCAGACGAGCCTCGGCGACACGAGTCGCAAGCAGATTCAACTCCTCTACAGTTTTCGGCTCCGACTCGAACGTCAGCCACGAACGAACATTGGGATGTAGGTTCTGAACTATACGGCGAACTAAAGCCGACTCAGAAACTTGATATTCCAAGATCTCCGCGGCACTTACTACTGACGTAACGAAATGAAACAAATCCTCAGTGGGCCCTTGAAAACGATCCAGCACGTACTTCATCAACAAACGCTCTCGGATACGAGGCGGAAGAAAGACAGACAAGATATCGGCACAGGCTGCTCGCCACTCAGAACCAATACGCAAATGGACGCTAATAGTTTGCATTAGCTTACCGGCTGTTCTGGAAATCAGCAAAGCCAAAAAATCGCCATCTTCTACGAGCTTAAGATCATAAACTGCCTTAGCTCTAACAAGGAAATGAAAAACTGCCTCAGGCTCGGGCTCGGTCAAAGCGGGTATATTCTTTACCAAATCAGAAATTACATTACCCCGCAACTTATTCTGCGTGTAACTAGTCTGAGTATGGACGTCGCCCCCTAAAATCTTAACAGCAGTAGTGCCAGCGACGTCAATACTCGGGGCCAACTTATCTGGTACTTGAGGAGGTAGGTAAGCTTCCAAAGCTCTCCACTTATCCTTCAGCCTTTTCCGGAGTTCATCTAAGCTGCCTTGGACGGACACACCCAGTTCCACTGCCAGCTTCTCAGCCTCCTCCCTCGGAAGATTATGGATCCACGCCAGCGGCATTACGATAGCATAGAACACCACACAAAAATATTAAGTGAAAGTACAGTCAAGTCAACACTTCAACAAACAGTCCTGACGACACCCATGGATCCTCAAGTCGAAACACTCTGGTTTGCGGGTTGCGCAAACCACGCTCTGCTACCAATTGTGAGCCGCACTTCCTCCTCTTCGAAGACAACCACGCTCTGCTACCAATTGTTGAGCCGCTTCGAAGACAACCGGAGCTCACAATCGACTGTTTGTCTCGTGGTGTTCCAATGCCTCCCCAAAGTGGAAGGGGATCTCAAGGGAGGAACCGAGAGGGTTAGCTGGCATAGGCGTTGGGCAGTACAAGTATTTCAGCAGAGTACAAGAAATCATAACAATCCAGCTGGCTTTTCAATAATATAAAAATATATTGCAACAAAAGAGTAGAAATGTAAATCATACAAATATGACAAGGAAAATGTTACAGCTTCGCCTGAAGGGCTGGTAGAAAAATCAAATAAACATCAGTCAAGAATGACTCAGAATTTGCCCGCAGTCAAAGTAACGGTTGCGACCCTTTTAAGTTCACTGACCTGGGCTGATCAATAGCCTTGAAAGTACATAGTTAAAACTGTCGCAAATAGCCTGGTTGCCAAGATGAAACTCGATCATAATGTTCTGACTACACCGATTACAAAATAATACATAAAACAGAGCTGAAAAGAAACAAACATTCAATCCCAACAAAATGCCCCTGCCGCATTGCGGCACTCATTGACCAATCACAAGTCACGTAACTCCTGGCACTCTCACAAATACAGGGCAGTTCTAAAACCTCTCGCCCAACTTCCTCAGTAAGTACTTACTTAATAAAATATATATTACAAGCCAGGGAAAATAATAAATAAATAAATAAATAAATACACAAACTCCCGAGCCAGCCAGCCCCACGCCGGCTCGACAGGGCTTTCTCTCTCTTCCTGTAGTAGTTAATGCGCCGAAACAAAATTTCTACGCATAATGCGTAAACAAGAACCAAACTGAATTTCGAACTCCCAAAACCGACCTTCTCGGTCGAAGACGAAGAGGAAAAAGCCACAGACCTACTCGTCTGTAAACATAGCTCGTGTCGGGACAAGAGGGAAGGGGAAACACGTGACCTCTCGGTTACGCAAGGAACTTGATGGGAAAGGGATCGGCTCCGCGTCGTAGCGTACGTAGTTGCCAGAGAGAGAGAGTAAATCCAAAGATCCTACACCGAAAGAACCGTGACACGGTTCACATTTCTGCAATACCCTTCCCATGCCTGATCCTTTGGAAATGTTGCACATGGGAGTTTCAATGAATTGCATGTTCAGTGGCAATTTCAAAGCGGAATGAGCAGTTCTTCCACCTGGTAGCAATGTCGCAGCTATTCCGGATGATGCAAGAGCTAAGGCTATGTCATTTTGGGATCAAATTGCTGCCAGAATCAATCTATTTAGGAACGTGTTACCAGTTCTTCCTGGCACATTGAAGAAGAAGAATTATGCAATCCTGTTATTGACAGTTTGCATTATTTGATCGTAAATGCCTTTTTGCTCCAGTGTTAGCTTAGGAATATATGATTGCACATACAACAAAAGATCACCAGTGTTGTAATTTCGTTCACGACGCAATTCTACATTGAACGAAGCAGCAACAGATCGATTCGGTGATGGCATTCCCAATTGATTGAGAACTTTGTTCACGATTTCTAAGCACAAATTTTCAGTCATTATGAACGCTTCATTGCAGATTTCTGCTACGAAATCCATGTTCATACTGGAATTTTCCTTGTGTATTCATCGGAAAATATCTTCAGCCTGTGCTTCTTTGTTGATTCCGCGATTCTTATGCAACAACCCATTGTTATTGCATTGTGTCTGTGGGAACGCTCCGGGTATTCGTCATAACCATGGAGATTCTATACAGTATCGCTATTGTTACTTCCTATGCAACGGTCTGTTCTAGTGTTTCCATAGGGGTGACTCTTCCAAATTCCAAATTCCAATTCTGTTTTTCAAAAGAAGCACGTTTTTACCTGGCACAGGTGTGACATCTGTATAATAGGTATATAAAAAGGCGTGTGTATTCAAAATCTTGCAATGATCGATGAAGAGCCTCGAGCGGTTTTTTTTGCGCCATTCATCTCAAACAATAAGTTTGCATTTCTTCAATACCCTTCCCATGCCTGATCCTTTGGAAATGTTGCACGTGGGGGTTTCAATGAATTGCATGTTCAATGGCAATTTCAAAGTGGAATGAGCATTTCTCCCACCGGGTAGCAATGTCGCATCTATTCCGGATGATGCAAGAGCTAAGGCCATCTCATTTTGGGATCAAATTGCTGCCAGAATCAATCTATTTAGGAACGTGTTACCAGTTCTTCCTGGCACATTGAAGAAGAAGAATTATGCAATCCTGTTATTGACAGTTTGCATTATTTGACCGTAAATGCCTTTTTGCTCATGTGTTAGCTTAGGAATATTTGATTGCACATACGACAAATGATCACCCGTGTTGTAATTTTGTTCACGACGCAATTCTACATTGAACGAAGCAGCAGCAGATCGATTCAGTGATGGCATTCCCAATTGATTGAGAACTTTGTTCGCGATTTCTAAGCACAAATCTTCAATCATTATCAACGCTTCGTTGCAGATCTGCTGTGAAATCCATGTTCATATTGGAATTTTTCTTGCCTATTTGATGGAAAATATCTTCAGCCTGTGCTGCTTTGTTGATTCCTCGATTCCTACACAATGACCCATTGTTATTGTGTTGTATCTGTGGGAATGCTCTGTGTATTCGTCGTAACCATGGAGATTCGATACAGTATTGCTATTGTTACTTCCTATGCAACGGTCTGTTCTAGCGTTTCCATAGGGGTGACTCTTCCGAATTCCAAATTCCAATTCTGTTTCTCAAAAGAAGCACGTTTTTACCTGTCACAGGTGTGACATCTATATAATAGGTATATAAAAACGCGTGTGTTCGAATGCAACGTTGTGTCAAAATTTCGAAGCAATCGGTGAAGAACTTTCGGAGATCTTCGAGGGGTAACAAACCAACATTTACATTTTTATTTATATAGATTGTTATTTTATTGTCTTTAAATACTCCTTATTGCCAACCAAAATGTATCCAAAGGAACTTCGAAAAGTTTTAGTTTCAATGTTCTGTCTGATTTTAAATCTGCGAGTTCCTCTTGTATATTAATCAGAAGATTACTGAATTCACAACAAATGGATCACGAACCCAGTCGAAATCTTGTACACTCTCTTCAAAATATTTACTGAATTTCTGCTGCTGCATTTCTAAATGTCCTTTAATTGTGTCCATCACCACTTTATTGCCGTCAGCAAGTGGCCATACAGTCGGGGATATCTCAAACGACCCATCTGTAATTCTCTAACTAGCAACAAAAATTTGCGAACTATTTCAGAGCACAGCTGTGATAGAACTGAAACAATTGTAAAATGCGGGATAATTACTATTCAAATGGAAGAAGTGACACTATACCGACTTATTTTTTTAAATATGTATAATTTTAAATGAAGTCCAACAATTGGTGGGTGCATCGTTACAGGAAGAAAGTTGGAGAAGCTCTAGCTTCTAACAAACGGGAAAATACCAAAACAGTGTTATAAAAGACAAGAAAACCCATGCTAATCCCTGCAGTTTTATGGAAAGGCACGTACACAGAACATGCGCCAAGCATATCAAAGAAGTTGCATAAATGCAAGAAAAATAAAAATAAATCAATAATGAAAGTATTGTATAACAACAACTGGGAGTAAATAATTTACGATTAATATCTTAGAATACAACATTACTGTACATAAAAAATCACAGCATGTAGTAAAGAATAAACAAGCATTATCTTATTTAATCAGTGCAGTGGCTGAGAATAAAATACAAGCATGTGAAACACAGTAACTGGGATAAAATAAAACAAATAAAATTCGACAATTTCTTACAATAGGTAAAAGTTCGCGTCACACCTTTCACCTTGTGACGGCACACCAGTTGCGGAACACTGGCCTAAATCAAGAAAATCAACTGAGAATTTAGATAACGTGCCATATCAACAGGCTATAGGATCATTATGTATTTAGCCGTGTGCACGTGCCCAGGTATATCCTTTATTATGACTTACCAAAGTCAATTTAACACTGGTTACACAAGAGAACACTGGATATTATTAAAACGAGTTCCAAAAAACCTAAATACTACAAAGGATGTAGGTATTGTATATTCCCAGAACGATGATCAGTTGGAAGGTTTTTCTGATGCACACTGGGGAGGAAATTTAGATCGTAGATCCTTTAGTGGATCTGTGTTCAAACTATCAGGAGCAGCTATCAGTTAGTGATATAAAAAACAAAGGACTGTAGCCTTGTCAACCACAGAAGCAGAATATATGGCATTATCAGAGACCGCGAAAGAAGCCATTTTCTTAAGAAAATTATGGTTTGAAATATGTAACAAGGAAGTCACAATTCCTATTTTTTGTGATAATCGTGGTACTTTAGCCATAGCGAATAATCCTGTCAATAATGACCGAACAAAACATATTGACATAAGGGTTCATTTTATGAGAGAAAAGGTTGAATCAAAGGAATTGTCAGTACATTACATCCCTTGAAATCAGTTAGTTGCTGATCGTTGCACGAAAGGTTTAAATGTACAGAAACATACTGATTTTATTAATTCACTTGGATTGTGCTAAGAATATTGTTTCCAAATGATGTTCTGAATAATAATAATAATTTTTTGATATATTCACAATGAATAAATATTTAAAATAAAAACTCCCAAATTGTTTAAAGGGGAGTGTTATGTTGGCAACTCTCAAATACTGAAATATAATGTTAGAGTTGGCAACATCATAGTAAACAGTATAAGAACTAGGTTATTTCTTGTCACCTAAGTGAAGTTTACTGTTATGTGTAACTACAGTTATGTGTGTAACAACAGCATCTTTATATTGTTATGTGTTACTATGGTTATAAGTTTGTATGTCTATAAGGCGTACTTCTGTGTCAAATTTCTCTATCTGAATAAAGCAGGAGTAGAATGAACACTGATTCTTACTTATCATTCGATCTACGGGAAACTGAAAATAACATGTTTCATGTGTGGTGTTGTATAGCCATGACTGATAGAAGATGTGATGCCTTTACAGAACTGCACAAATTCAGAGAAGGTTTTAGTTGGTCCATATGGTGAGACATACCCAGCAAGTCTTGATGCAAACCAGGCCATGAATGTAAAAGCTGAGAAAGTCTCAGATGCAGAAGAGGAAGCTGATCCTGTGCAAATAACAGTTCAGGAGATAAAGGCTGAACCTGAGGTAAGCTGTATGCTCCTTATGTCCACTGTTAGGCAGATGTCACAGATAGGCAGGAATTCCAGTTGTCTGTCTCATCTCCATGTGTCTGTCTGTCTGTCTGTCTGTGCACATGGAACAACGCCACTATGCTGCTGACTCGCCTTTGAAGGTCTTTTTCTGAAGTGTCACTACACAGTTGTAGTCTGTTGCATGTATGCTGCTTGTGATGTACCACTTCCATTTCTTTAAGCAGTTTGGATGTAGATGAAATTAAATTTTATGTAAACTGAACTGTATTTGAGAGAAATTCTATAGCAGCAAAAATCCATAGGGAGTCACAGAACTGTTCGCAGTTAGTAAACACATGTTAGAACCAAGAATTCAAATTACTAGGACTCTTGTGAGCTAATTCCAGTGAATCCCACAAGATATTTTTCATGTGATGAAGGTTACAAAAGATTCTGCATTCTCTTGCAACAAGAGTGGCAAGAATTGTACTGTACAGGTATGGAACTGAATAAACATTTCATACTGTGAGAGAAAGTATTATGTGTCATGCTTGTGTGCACAGACAAGAGTTTTATTTTCATATATCAGTTCTCTTCGTCAAAGAAACTAAATATTTTATGACCCGCTTCTGTTTGTTTGCATAATGCATGTCGGGTGTTCCTTACACTTGGGTAATAATGGGTTGGGATATTATGTAGGAGAGCAATGAGTTCAAAGAGAGTGATGTGGGGAAGTCATGTAGTGCACATGCATCAGTGAGAAATGCATACAGAGAGAAGCAGACCACTTGGGAGACCTGAGTGCGAATGGAAAGTTGCTATTAAGCTAGATTTTAAAGAAATAATTTGGAAGGGTTTGTACTGAGTCTGTTTGTCACAGAGTATGGAGCACTGTTGACCACAGTAATGAGCCTTTTCTGGC